GTAAGAGAATAATTCTCGAATCACCGCACAAGAAATCCCATTACGCCAGGGAAAAAGAAAGGTGAACCCGAGACCCGATATTGAGTTAGCTGAGTTTTCATTCGACCTTTTTACTTCGATTCGACTTCCGATCGAAGCCTATCTACTGGGCGTTTTACGAGAAAATCGACTTCCTATTTAGGGAGGAAATAAGAGAATTCGTGGGAAAAAAATTTGTCAATCCGTGTTTTCTTTTTTACCGTATCCTTCGTGTTTTTCGTATTCTCGTAAAACAAATCTGTTCTTCGTTTATGAACACCGCGTATATAAACATACGTTTGAAAAATCGTAATTAAATCGTACAGGGGTGAATTAAAAACAGTTATTCGTTCTATTATTTCTTAAATAACAGATAAATCGTTGAAGTAGCTAATTTTACTTTCAAGATGGCGTCCAAGGGGACACATGTTCCTCTTGCCACGGTTCCGTGGGCACCGTGTATTTTCTTAGCCGTTTATGAAATTACTGCACGACATTACTCCACTTGGTCTTGGTCGGAAATGGCACAAAGAGAGGAAATGGCGGCCACGCTATCTGTTAGAAAGTAACCATTATTCCCAGATCCATTTTCTGCCCGTACACGGGTTTAGCTATCAGAGTGCACGGTATTCTCTCAGGCATACAGAAGGATAGTTTTCTGGGCCGTGGTCCTCAAAGTAGCAGACATTTTGAGCTGTTCCCCCCTCGAGAGGGAGATGCACTTTCGCTATCCCATCTCCTCGTGCTATCTTCCTCTATGGGAGAATCGTAGTTCCACAGAGAGAGAGAGAGAGAGAGAGAGAGAGAGAGAGAGGCAAGGTTGGAGAGCACGGTTATTGAATTACGAACTCTTAGCTTTCTAGTTCTTGCAGGGTGCGCGCCTTAAGGGACGCGCGCAAGTATGTTCTCAAAAAGCTCTTCGGAGTAGTCGCAAATAAAAGGAGTCGTCCACTTTTACCAGATCTCCGGGAAAGGTCTGTTCTATCCAAGTAAATGCATCTACGCGTACAAACGAAGTACGCGCGGATCGGAAATCTTTGTATCCAGAGGATACCAAGAGTTTCTCGCTTACGAACGAATCTTTAAATAACTACATCAGCTAGTTGTAATAATTACGAGTTTAAGAGGAATGTTTCTGTTTTCAATCTCTACGTCCAAGTGTTTCAAATATAGGAAACGTGTAAAAGTATTTATCATTGACCCTCTATGGTCGGCCATTTTGGAGTACGAGTATCAGGGAAACGCAGAAAACAATTGTATTTTAATCTCACGAGTTTTTGTGCAAAGTGTTGTTGTTGAAGCGTTTGAGCTAGGATTATATTCATTTACAATTTAAACTGTAATAATTAAGCATGTTTAGTAATAACACTGAAGAATTCTCATTAAATCAACCTAATTATAGTGTCTTTTACTGTACCAAACGATTGAGGTGGCCTGAAAGTAAGATTTCATGAATAAATTGGGAATAAACAGTTGAAAGATAAAACCAATCGATTAAGAGACGCGACGCATGGTTTGGAATATTGAATGATCCAATTTGAAGCCATAAATCTATCGGTATACTGAATAATCGATGGTCCAAACGAAGCTGTTTTCTTAGAAGCTTATGTAAATACCAATTTCGTTTCTTTTTATTGGATAGTCGATGGACTATTTTCTTTTTATAGAAAATTAATAAATTCTAAAAGTTTATTTTTATATCATTTTGCTGTAAGTTTGTCTAATCAATTTTGTAGTATTAGAGGAATTTTCAATGGAATTATTTTACATGGAAGGTGAAATTATTATTTTGTTATTTGAGTAACTTTTATCAAGTTGAGTTTACTTTAATAAAATTGTTTTTATCGTGCCTGCTTACGAAGTCAATTCTGAATCATCAAAGAAAATTTGGTGAATTTGTCAGCAAAGGACTCTTCTTCCATGATATCGATAGTGTAGAGTCGGAACTGTTTTATTTATCGATTCGAGGCTTCCTTTGTTCACGAAAACACGCATTGACGAGCGCACGCGGAGCAAAACGCATATATTTGACGGTTAACGCGATTTGCGACAACTTATACTCGAATACTTTGAACTTTGACTTTTAGATCGAGGTTATTTCGTAGGCTAACTTATTTACACGACAGTAATAACAAAAATGCCCCGAACGAAGCACGAACTATTTGCGATACCTTTCGATGCGACTTCGAATAAAATTTGCAATGGGAAAAGGGATGCTTAAGGAATTCTTTCGACTTACGAAGTTTTAACTGATCAAATCAGTTCACATCATTGATAAATATTAATGAAAGTGGTGATTCTGAAGGCCAATACTCAAGTTGACCTTTTGGGGGGTTAAATTACATTTTAAGAACATGAAAATACCAAACGAGTTGTCGATATCCAATTTTTTAATCAGTTCTTATACAACATCTGACAACTATATCATTTCAACCCTATAATATTCACTACAACTCGACTTAAGGTCTATGTATAGTAACACAACACTTACCAAAACAAAAGAAGAAATTTTAAGTCACAATCATTGATAAAATTCTCTGTGACAATTTTAATTCCTTAAAATGGCGTCACGAAATTGCAATTGCTTCTATTAAAATGAATTATTGTAGCGCAAAGGGGAAAACTGTGAACGCGTATATATACGCCTTCCATCGAACGGTTGAATCGATCGTACCGTTTTCTGGTTTATCACCAAACATATCAGAGCTTCGAAATGCATCGAACAATTTCAATTTTTGCTCTCGCGGTCCGTTTCATCCTCCATTCGACTCTTAAACGCGAGAGCACCGCCGCAGGTATTTCGCGAGACACATTTCGGGACCGGCGCGCTCCAACGTGGAAAAAGAAGCAAAAATAGAAATACAGAGACGCGGTTAAAAAGCGATAAAGACAAGGGGAATGGATGGGGAACGAGTCGGAGTGAAACGGAGGAACAGCGATACCGGGGGAAAAGAGCAGATAAAGCGGAGGAAGCGAGACGGGCAAATCCTGATCAGACCACCCTCCTGTGTCACCCACTTTTGTAATGGCGTACGGCGCGCATGCGCGAGAGACAGAGACAGAGACAGAGCACGCAGACAGAGGGAGGGAGAGAGGGTGCAGGGTAGAAATGTCGATAAAACGTGTTGGCCAATGAGAAACCTGGGAGTGACGTCACAGCCGTGGCATTGGCCAATCAAGGGGCACCGGTAACGTCACCACGAGGGTGGAAACAACCCGACCCCAACCAGAGGAGAGGCTTTTCCTCTTTCTGGGGGGAGGGAGGGAGGGGGTTGCTTGGAAAGAGAGGCTTGGCTGCTTGAGAACGATAAGAACTCCGCGAAAGAGGGGCGAAACGAATGAGGAAGCAGAAGTAGGGATGCAGGACGTTCAGGGATTCAAAGTAAGTAGATGCCGGAGAATCGCTGCTGGCAGTTCAGGCAACCCCCAATATGGGGGTTTACTAATTCCGCGAAACAATGGAAATTGCCCGATATAAAATGGCGATATGTAAACTACTCCGTCTGGGGAGGCTTCTGTCCTGAAAAAGAACGCAGGGACAGACGATGATGAAGAACCTTTTTCGTGTAGAGTAGATTTTGGGAAAGGTAACAGCAAATTGTGTGCCTTTGGTGAGCACAAAAATCCATTTTGATAATGGATTACGTGTTGAGATATTTCTGAGCTATAGGAAAGCATTTTAGGTCTGAAAAGAGGGATAAGTAATGAACATTAGAAAACAAGGGATGATTGTGAGCACGGAAATCCACTTTGGTAATAAATAACGTGTTGAGCTGTTTAATTACAGAAACTTTTAACCATGATATTTCAATCACTAAGGAGCATGGTCCTTTTGAATAAGAATGAATTGTAAACATAAAATACAGCTCATATGCTTACTTGCTAAATCACATAAACGGTAATCTGTGAAGATAAATATGAAAATACGTTTAAATAATGAAATACAGGTTTGGGAGAACGATCTCTTGCTGTATTGGAGAAAAATATAATCATTCAAGGAAAATTATTTATTGCCCAAGTAATCAATTATTTTCATGACATCCAGTTACCTATTCTTGTTTTGATTCTATCAAAAAGGTACGATTTCGAAACTTGTGGCAATATGACTCAACTATAATACAGTATACACAGTGGCCACGAAAGTATCCAAAACACCAATATAATTACGATTTTTATGATTTTGTATTTTAAACGAAAATACAAGAGTGCAGTTGGCAGTTAAAAAAATCATTTCCTTTATCGTATACAGTTGTTTAACTAATAGAGGAGTCATTAATTAGACCCTTAAAAACTCTCGAAGTGCTCGAATTACGGATGGAAATGTGATTGGGAACTTTTTCGCTATCGATGAAGAAAATGTCTGTCCTTGTTGAGGACGTTTATTTTTACTTCTTAAAAATTTTATTCAAATTAAAACTTTTATTTATCTGGTCTCGTCGGAACTTGCAAAGTGGGAATTTTTATTACGAAAGTTCCATTTTAACTGTTTCAGTGGAACATGTTGAAAAGGTCCCATAACTGTTACGACCCTTGGTTATAATTTCAATGTTACAGATGGGTATAAATAATGGAGGATCCAGGAAAACTCAAAGGGAAGGGGGAGCAGGGTTAATAAATATTGAGAAAAATATTTGAGATTTTGAAAATTCGAAAATCCCCATCCAAGATTTATTTAACATTTAATAAATTGTTTGAAGCGATTAAAATTCAGTTAACAGGCTTTTTGGTCATTCTTGAGCCTGTAAAAATGTTAAAGAATATTTAAAAACAATTCTTATGCAAAATCATCGATTATAAGATTAGTTAAGTTCCAAAAATAAGGGAATAAAAAAAGAAACAGTGGCTTCTGAATGTATTTTAAACATGGCTGAACTAAATGTTTGTTAGTTATGTTATATTTAAATAAAAGTATACGAAGATCGTTTCTGCACTGTTCTTACGTATAAAACGTTACTCAAATCCTGTTGTTTCTCTGTTAATAGGTCTGGTTTCAAAATAGAAGAGCGAAATATCGGAAGCAAGAGAAACAGCTTCAAAAAGCTTTGACTCCGATTCCTGCTTGTCAAGGTGCCATGATGAGGAACATCTACCCCGGTGCTAGCAGAGGTTATCAACCGTATCCTCATCCTCATAATAGCATAAACGGAATAAATCGTTACCCTCAAGTAAGTCCACTTTTCACAATAAATACAAATTTTATTTTTTTATTATAGTATATTATCATTTTAGTTTCCAATGAAATAGATAAATACTCCTCACAGAAAAAAAGTAATAAAACAGAGTACAATTTTAAGAAAATATATTTTCTTCAGACTTCCAAAGTAAACTTTTATTTGACACATCCACCATTTTGTCGTTTCTCATCAGAATGTAAAAACACACAAAATGGTCCTTAAAATTTTGTTCCAACGTTAGATTCACAGTCTATCAATAATAGTAACGATACGTTTGACAAATCGACTTTCGATTGTAAATCGAGAAAAAGGGGGAAAACGAACGCTAGTAGACGCGTCGCGTTATGTTTACACGTTCTGATTTCTATTGCTTGCACGACAATCGATACATTAAATCCAGCAGCCGACGTATCCGTACCCCAACAGATGAATTCGATGCGTTTCTCGTTAATGGTTTTAACCGAGGTATTAAATTGAAGTGCACCTGAGCGTCCGGCGCATCGCTATCGGTCGATGTACCTAAATTGCATTTAAACTGATTAGTTGGGTCGGGCGGATTACCGAATGCCTACTGGTTTAATTAAGCCAATAATTCTTCGAATGTGCCGATTTGCCAGCGAAAAAGCTTTCAAGATCCTCGCGATCGATCTTCCTAACCGCGTTTCGAATTCCAGCGTCGCAAAACCGTTCGCCAATACTACTACAAACCTTTTTTTTCTCTGTTATTTACTCGATAAACTAATTTCCAATATAAACTGCACAAATAAGAATCGTTTGGCATAATTCAAAAGGCAGTCTGGTATTTTTATTTTATTTTCTATGATGGAATATTTGCATTAGAATGAAAATTAGTATAGTACTCGTGCAAACCTTTTTTCTGTGTTGTTTACTCGATAAACTAGTTTCCAATATAAACTGCACAATATGAGAATCGTATGACATAATTCAAGAGTTTAATAAACAATATTTGCACTTGTAATATATTTCAACAGTGGAATTTTGCAGAATATTTTTATATCAGGAGATAATTGTATGAAATCTCAAGAAATGTTTAATTTTGTCAAATAAACGAGCATCCTCTACCAGACAATATTTTTATAAAATACCGATTCTTCATATTTGAATTTTCTTCGTAATTTTAATAAAAAATTGCTCTGTTCAATAACTTGGTCGTCTTGTGAAATTCGAACATAAAAAATACAATTTTTAAATGATTGTTCGACTTCTCTGATTAAGAACACCACCTTAAAAACGAAGTTTATTCGTCGACACGTCTCGTATTCGTTACCAATGACTAGTTACTATTATAATTTAGTTCGTCCCAGTAAATTATGTTATAATATCGGTTTAATGAAATAAATAATTCACTTACACGCGTGTCTGTTTCTGCAGATGGGTACAACGTCTTATCCAAGTATGACACAACCATTTTCTATGTCGCATTCGGCGTCGAATATGTCGGCAGTTACTGGTATGAGACAAGATGCAATGGGTGAGTACAGATAATTATTATTAAACTAAAGTAAATCACTATCTTTTGCGTATACATATTTGTAAAAATTAACACAACCAAAAGAAAAGTTTTACCTTCAATTTTACTTTTTAGATTTTGTTTTAGAATTATTTGTTAGAATTTTCAATAATCTTGAAAGTTGTTGATTTCACAGCCAATTAAAAATATAGTGCTAACTTTTGTCAAATTATTGAACTCGTGAATCAAATGAAAACTGTTTCTATTTATTTATTTAGTATATCAAGTAATGTGTAATGGCAAGATCAGCTGTTTCACAACTTCACCCCAATTTATTAACGGGGTTGTTTTTAAAAATGGTCGTATTTCCATTAAATCGTACATATTCCTGATTATTGTATTCCTATATTAAAACACTTAACCTTTATGAATTGTTTTTAAAAACTGTAAATTATTTTATCGTCGTGTAAATAGAACCAAACCAACTCAGACAATTACGTAGAAAAATTAAACTAAATCCAATTAGTAAGAGGGTACAAACTTTGTATACTCTTCTATGAGATTGTGTACAGTCACTAGTAAATATAAATGATTTACAAACAACTAAACAAAAATTTATTTAATATAATTCACATATAGGATTCAAACTCCAAGACAAATTAACTACACGATTGAAGGATTATATTATTTAAAATAACAATACTGAAACAGGTCGAGAAATCAAATTAATAGTCCTTTCGATATGATACAAACGTTATGACAACAGAGATTTTCTGTAACGTTAAAGAAATTAACCGTAATATTTTTAGCGTCATACCTAATATACAAGAACGTTAATTAATGCCATATTATATACAAATATAATACTGGGCGTAGAAAGAGCGGAACCAATGGACAGCGCCCGGTGACTATAGTAACGGGGCACAAAGTGAGGGAAGCGCTTTGCTCCCGGGAGCGATTCTGTATAATCTAATTGGCTAAAACTTTAACATTGTTTTGTGAAAAAAACGGTTCGTTTGCGACGTGCGCTTCCTTTTGAACTTATTATTCTCCTGTCGAGTAGAACACATCGATATAAAAAAAAAAATTTCCCTCGGCCATTTTGCGAGGCTCGCGCGAATTTTACAAGCAGAGATTTTACCAAATTTTCACCGGGTGTAATTCGATTCTTCTACGTTAGGAATCTTTTAGAAACATAACTCGTTACTAATACACTTTAGATAAATAAAAATTATAACATCCACAGAATTATTACACGGAAACGTAATATAAAAATGAACATTTAAAGGGTATAGCCGGATAAGATGGTCAAAAGTGCCCTTGAGCCAAACTGATCAGTGAACATATCAGTTAATAGACCATTCAAAGAAACCCATTTGTGTCAAATATCAACCCCGTACCCTTACTGAGAGGGTAGTTACAGGGCGTAACGCAATTTTCAGTTTAAGCTGTATATCTTTTGTTGTATTGTATCAAAGATTTTGAAAAAAATTGGGGGTATTTTGCTCTACGGCGTACGTGTTTGTGAATTTTTTCAGAATTTTTCACCGCAAAATGGATTTTTAAAAAATTCGAAAAGTATAAAAATATTTTTTTTTAATAGAAATTATTAAATGACCACGTTTATATTTTTACAGTGTTAGTGTCTTGTTATGATTATTAATCTATAATTTTTTCAGATTTTTAGAAATGGGGGAGCGATGTTGGAAAAATAAAAAACCGACATTTGCTTTTATTTTTACCTTAATTTTTGTTGTGACCATGTTCGTATTGTTACAATTTTAATAGCTTGTTACTGTTATAAATATATAATTTTTTGAGATTTTTTGTGGAGGTGTATCACATACAAAATAATTATAAATCGATATTTCCTAAGTTTTCGTTCGAGTAATATATTCGGGTAATTGATATTTTTACTTCATCGAATGATCATTATATGCATGCTCAAAATAGTTTTACGTGTATCAAATAATATAAAACTTAAAACCTTAGGAATGTCGAAAAAGACATCAATGAATGACATTAATGAATACTTAATCTTTTATGAGTCATATTCTCAGAAATTCTAATGAGAAATTCTAATAAAACAATAGCTGCAATTCTTGGACTGGAACGTGAGCAATTAGTTTCCGATTTTTGTGCGTCAGTGATAAACTCCTTTGTATAAGATATATTACCAACTTATTTTGGATTTACTGCCTTTTCTCGACAACATTTAATCGAGAAGGAAACATCAGATATTGCTAAAAAATTACACATAACCAATCAGTTGGCATTAATTTTTGATGGTACCTACATCCGACATGGGAAAAGTTCAAATAATGAATATCAACGGAAATCATATTCAGGACAGAAGAAAGTACCATTATGCAAACCATTTACGATATGTACAACAGCTGGATATATTGTTGAAATGCTGGGACCATTTTACGCTACACGAAATGATCCGAATGGTCTGCGGACATTACTTAAGAAAGGAGATATATGCATCGTTGACCGAGGATTCCGAGACGTTCAGAACTATTTAGAAAACGAAGGATACAAAATACTAATGCCAGCTCTGAAAGGCAAACGTCATCAGTTAACCACCGTAGAAGCTAATAATTCTAGATTGGTGACAAAAGTTCGTTGGGACATCGAAGCTATCCATGGCATTATAGGACAAAAATACCGACTTCTCCACCACCAATTAGACAATAAGCTACTTTCGACAGTACGGCCATACTTCCGAATAGCCTGTTTTTTACAAAATATGTTTGGAAAGCGAATGCATAGTGATTCGGAATTTTTGGAAGAAATAATTGCAAGAATTTCGGAACAAAAAGAAAAAGAAAATACCTTGGGAATATAGGCAGAGACATATCGCTGGGATAGACGGAAAACTCCGTTTCAAAACATTACATCTGGGCATTTGCTTGACTTCCCCGAAATGACAGAACGTGATTTGCGACTATTTTTTACCGGATCTTACCAACTTCAACAAGCAGTGTCTTATCTCGCAGAACTAATAAATAGTGACAATGAAATTAACTTCAGTTATTTAAAAACAAACAGTAATATCACTCAATTTAAAGTGCAATCGCGACATATCAAGAAGAAAATGTATAAGTGTTATATAGACTATACACCAAACACAATAGGTTGTTCCGGAATTAATCGTCACTTCTGCGAATGTGCAAATGGCACTCGAACCATCGGATGTTGTTCCCATGTTGCAGCGATAATTTATTATTTGTCGCATGCCCGCTATATTGCAAAAATTATGAAGCCTGCAGAAATACTCAGCAAAATCTTTAATACAGAACACGTAAATACCCGTAATAAATGATGACAGCGACGAAGATTGCAAATATATCATTAGAGGTAAGTTATTCTCTTAATTCATACATGTAAAACTATTTTGAGCATGCATATAATGATCATTCGATGAAGTAAAAATATCAATTACCCGAATATATTACTCGAACGAAAACTTAGGAAATATCGATTTATAATTATTTTGTATGTGATACACCTCCACAAAAAATCTCAAAAAATTATATATTTATAACAGTAACAAGCTATTAAAATTGTAACAATACGAACATGGTCACAACAAAAATTAAGGTAAAAATAAAAGCAAATGTCGGTTTTTTATTTTTCCAACATCGCTCCCCCATTTCTAAAAATCTGAAAAAATTATAGATTAATAATCATAACAAGACACTAACACTGTAAAAATATAAACGTGGTCATTTAATAATTTCTATTAAAAAAAAATATTTTTATACTTTTCGAATTTTTTAAAAATCCATTTTGCGGTGAAAAATTCTGAAAAAATTCACAAACACGTACGCCGTAGAGCAAAATACCCCCAATTTTTTTCAAAATCTTTGATACAATACAACAAAAGATATACAGCTTAAACTGAAAATTGCGTTACGCCCTGTAACTACCCTCTCAGTAAGGGTACGGGGTTGATATTTGACACAAATGGGTTTCTTTGAATGGTCTATTAACTGATATGTTCACTGATCAGTTTGGCTCAAGGGCACTTTTGACCATCTTATCCGGTTATACCCTTTGTCGATGTTTTATAAAAATAATTGGGCTTGGAAAGATCAGTCTCTTGGACCAATTAATAAAAAAAGAAAAAAGTACAGTAGATATTCTTGTTGATTTCTTAAAATATTTAATTTGTCGAGGGGTGTTAAATTTAAGGGTAGTTTAATTCAAGATACATGACTTGCGAAAGAAAAATGTTATTTCCAACACATGCCACTATTTATACACTGAACGAATAATTTACTGTTTATTATTTACGATTAAAAACCAAGTGCTCGATGTGGGGAATTGAAAACGTGAAATACAAGTAATTTTATATTTTCTGTCTCCGTTGGGTGTTGACACGAGATTATCGAATAATTTTGTAAAAAAAAAAGCCACGCCGGAAATGACGGGAATCGGACGTCCGTGCAAACGTGCGTTCAGTCCAAGACGTTCTCTCTATTTCCGCTCCAGCGCCGTCTTACACCATTTCCGGTGCAAGATGGAATATCGCTTTTAAATCGAATCAAGACTATTCGCGAATTGGCTGTCTGCTACTCTTCATATAGACATCCACGTTGGTCGTAGGTCTTTTACCAATATCCCAGATTCTCGTAACGATTTAACGTCTTAATGCCATAGCAAATCGGTCGATTAGTCGCTACGAAGAAGGCTCTGGGAAAGTCTTTAAATCGAATCACCTGATTGCTCTCGAAGAAAAAAGAAATTTAGTTTCCTTCGTCTAACTGTTCCCGATACGGAAGGATGGATGGACATTTTCATATTTATATCGAACGTTCCCCTCGAAAATTATAATGTGATACCTTTAACCAAGTTTGATTACGATTTATTAAAGGTAAATTTAATTTTTACAAGGAACTATTCGATATGAATGTTTTAGTATTTGGTATTAGAAACGCCTGTTATTTTTTTCAATTCTCCAATTATCCGAGAAATTTATTATCTGAATATATAAATATAATTTAAAATATAGAACAATCGTAAAAACTGTAATGTTTCTATTTCTATTTAGAATTTTTACGAGCAGAATTTTATATTAATTTTCCTTCAAAGCTTCCTCTTTGAAACGATTTTTGGAGATATCATAATTTAAATGAAGGGGTAATTTTTAAAATTTCACCCACCGTCTTACGAAAGTCTATTAACGCGTATTAAAATTACTGAAACTTTAGACGCGTGCAATTCTGAAACTACTAGTGTTTTTTGCATAATCGAGCTATCGTTAGCAGCGACAAAGCTTCCTCTTTAAAATGGTTTTTGGTTTTTGTCGATCCGACTTACCGTTTCGGAGATATCGTAATTTCTGTGACCGAGTGACGTAGTGTTTACTGTTTACTGTGTCAGTCAAAAGGTCATTGACCTCGCGACGTAAACAAACGCTTCGAAGCCTTATATCTTCGGGACTAACCACCCGATCGATTCGAAACAAAAATATTCGAGTAACTAAATCCTTTGCCAGTTAATTAAGCAAACACGTTAGATATAAAACAAGATCTCTGTTAATACGTGTATTGTCTCGTTTTAGGAATGTCAGCGGAGGACGAATGGTACAACAAGAGCATCTCCGCTTTAAGAATGAATACAGCTCACCATCCAAATCTCGCTGCCCCGATGCTGCAATATCAAACATAATTGTAAACGTGTATTGGTGGGGTTATCCGAGAATTCCACACGAGTATTTGAATGCGTATCTTCGTCCGGACGACTCAGCATTGCCGAAATTGTGTTGTCGAGGAGAGGGGAATAAAAGAAAAAAGTAACAAAAAGAACAATATTTCGAGACACCACCAAGGAGACGTAGAGAAACGGTGAAACGAAAATGGAGTTTAACGCGATTCTCGTGGCGCTTTTTCGAGAAACGAGAAATTGAATTTTTTCCGACCAGCACGGAATGCATCGTGCTGACGTTCGAAGTTTGGTCGAAATTATTTGTTTATTAATATCACGATAGGAGGGCGACTTCTGGCGAATAAGTTGAAATTAGTGAGACGTTAACTAACATTTCGTCATACTGTTAATGATATTTTGGTGAAGTACTTTGTTAATGTCGCAATATCTCCCATTAAATATACGTATTCGCGCATAATATACGACTATTAGTGCAAATGTTTATGTAAGCGGATTAAAAATGTTTTATAGAGGGTGAGAAAATTAATAATTGCCGTGGATTTCGCGGATTTGCGTACGCGTCTAGAATGGCGGAGATTACGTTGAAAAGGTAAGGGGAAAAATTCTTATTGATCTTGAAATTCCTGTTTATAGTTCTACTCGACAGAAAGACACAAAGTTTAAAAGGTATCATACGTTGACCAATCGAATTGTGCAGAGTTGTTTCCGGGGTCAATGAACTTCATTTTGTTTCTAGTTAATCGATTCTTAATCATCCGGTTGAGAAGGTTTTCTTTCTTCTGAACCAGTGTTTTTAAAACTTCATTATTATTCAAATATATTTAAAAACTACCTTTAAAAGGCTGCATTTGGTTCTTATGCAATTTTATACAATTTTGGAAAAAAAAATTTTATGATTGATCTTAATATTTGTTTAACACTATTTGATGATAAATTTTTCTGATTGAAGAGTATTAAAAAATCTCGTTGTAATAAAAAAGTTCAGTAAAGCTTCTTTAATTTGTAACAGAAATAAAAGAATAAAATTTCAAATTTTCGACTGACAATACTTTTTATCTGGTGTTCTAAATTAGGCTAAACTACACAAATACATTTTCTATTTTCGTTTGGAAATTTGCCCTGTTAACATAATCATGGGATTAATAGCTGTTTGAAAAACAGTGGTCTAAATTGTGTCACAAACTCAAAATGGTTAAGAATCGTTCCCCTAAATTATGCCACATATTTAAACAGTATCGTTCTTTTTGTAGCATAATAACTTCCATCGTACCATGATATTCATGGAAACTTCATTTTGATCCTAAAGTACAAGACACATTTCTTCTTCGATTCTACGTATTCTACCTAACAAGAGGATGAAAAGTTCACAGACGAACCGTATTCTCATTCTGATAAAATTGATAAACTTTTTACATCAATTACAACACTGTTCTTTTAACTGTCGAGAAACTATCGAAATTGGAAAAACTATTTCTTCGAGTTGAAGCAACTGGAAGAGCAACGCTGTACTGTTGAGAGTTGAAGACTATAGTTCTGGAAGAAATACGGATTTCATTGCTCAGAATTTGAAAACTCACGCACATACGACTAAGCAAGACTTGTAAAGACTATCATCCATTGGTCAGTATCAAATTTAAACTTCTTAATAATTACACTTTGGTTTCTAAACTTTGTAACTCACCCACCTCAGATAAAAGATTATTATACCTGATACAAGTGGTATGTTTAAAATGAAGCAGGAAAGATATACTCTAACTATTACTAAAATTTGATTTCTATTCCATTTTGCAAAGTACCATTTCACACACAATTAATGAGCAATCTCTATTCTACGGGACCATTTTCTTGGGCTTCTAACTACAGTTTTGGCGTATATTTAAAAAAAGTTAGTCTTGTCATTTTTAATAATCACACATTTTATACTCCGGAGCAAGCGTGCATAATTCAATTGGACAAACATTTAACTTTCTTTTCATCCTTCTATCGAGAAGAATTCGAACGTCTTCTTCACATCTACCAGTCTCGATGAGCTTAATTTGTGAAATCCGTGACAAATACCGTTTCACACCCTGTCCAAAGCATACTAGATTTCACATTATCTTTGAAATGGAATTTTTTCGTAGTATTTAGCGTTTTGATCTTCGATTATTGTTATAAATATTGCCGTTATTCGTCGAGGATGTACGAGGATACATTTCACCGCATACCCAACGAATTTTTAAGCATCTCGCGGTTTGTTTCGAATTTTCATCTTTTTTTTTTTGCGTTATCTTTCGCTGGTAAACAAAATCAGGAATTAAATGGTTAAAGAGGTGTTTCTTGTTTCACGATATGGTACGCGGTTCGTATGCATGATCGATACGCATACGCAACGTGGAACCCGACGCCGCACAAACGGTCCGCGCGATCTTTCGTTAGTTTCTTAACAACGATCCAGAACATTTTCGTTAATGGAAGGGAACTGTAAATAAGGGCGAGATACATATACAGTGTACTCAACAGATATTCTAGCATATGCGATTTTTCAATGTCCTTTTAAGAATGTAAGCCATACCTACCCTTAGTGGAATATTAGGCATTGATTTGTGTGCTTATGTTTGCCAGAATTTTAAATAATCGGGAAGGGAGGGTAGATGAGGGTAACTGACGATTCTTGCGTTCGAAATTTGAGGGGCGCCAGGTTTCAAACCCAAACTACGAACTTTCCTTTTTCCAGTAAAATATAAGTTCCTTCGCGTCTACGACTCTATCATAGGAACTCTGTTTTTTCAAAATAGGAACTTGGTAAATGACTTAGAAATTTTTTAGACTCCGATCATATCTATGAAAATATCTCTTCATGAATCTTAAAAAAAATTAATTTTGAAACGCTTTAAAAATAAAAAAACGATACTAACTAACGACTCGAGAGTTACAGTTTTTGTTTCGTTAAATGTGAAGCTTCAGTTGTATGTTGTTTTGGAGAACACGTTTTTCTTTTCTCTTATTTGGAAATTACCAAATTGGCAGTTCTACCTGGCGCCTTTCAGTGGTGATATTTGGAGTCTGTCCAATCAACAATCGTCTATATTGGTGTCATTTTTCGATAAGTGTCTAATCCATATATTGATCGAGAATGGAGTTGCAGACGACTGCATTGTTTTCATGTAGTTTCGCTGCGACCTTAATACTAATATCACTCGCGGTGTTCCACGCGAAATGTTCCTAAAAATTTGTAACATATCACATGACACACGAGCACACACGCACTTACACATACACGCGTGTACGGTACAGGAGCGCATGTATGGAGACGTATACACGTGTGTACGGTACAGGAGCGCATGCATGAAACGTATACACTTCCACACACAACCACGTATGTCGGGGGGAAAAGAGGATTAGGGGGCGTTAAAGATTAAGTGGAAATGCATACCGGGCGACGTAACATAGTTTTAAGCAAGGGTCACGTATTGTACGTATGTGTTGTACATAGCCTAAATAAAAATTACATTTAAAATTACACGCTGTTTCTGAAATATTCCCACCGAAACGACCAAACTAGGTATCGTACGCAGCGACGATCACAAAATGCAAAAGCTTCGTTTGCTGTAAAAAGAAAAGTATAGAAATATGAATTATCGTTGAATGGAAAAACTACAGATGCGATCTTTTGTACCAATACTTGTTATAACTGATGTAAATGGATCTGGAAGCTTCAATTTCACGATTAATTAATATTTTTGAGTTTAAAAAGCATCTATTGAAAGATGGTTTATTCTGAACAGTGCCTTCACACTGAAAATTTAAGGCTGTAATAAATATGTATATAAACGTGTTTGTAGTTCTTTCAATTAACGATAGTTTATATTTTTATGTTTCTTTTCTGTAACAAACAAAACTTCTGTAAACTTTTCAGTAAGTCAAGACATTTGTTACTTATTTAAATTCCATTACGTGTTTTTACATATAAAAAATTAAAAAAAAAATGATTTGTCTGTCTCAGGGAATAGAACACTAGTCCAACGTGTGGGAACTTTGATCCATTGCTGTTGGACTAAAATATTAATTCGTGAAAGTATCGAATAGAACTTAATTTAAATCACAATAAATCTTGAATTATAAATATCTAAAAAATAATTGAATAATGACTTTATTAACAGGGTAACCAAATCTACCATTTTATAACATTTGATCTAAATCAGTGACCCCCAAGGCCGTCCACTCTCCAGTATAGGGTAAAAGGAATGTATTGATCTTGAAGCACATATTTTATATTCTATTTATTGTGTCTCATGCGTTGGGCACAGAATGTTTTTAACTACGGTAATTTATTCTTACTATTTTCATTTACACAGCAATGGTGACACATTCGAAATGTCGTGGGAAGCTAGGGAATTGTTTTGGCGGACTTTCAAACATGGCAGCGTAAGACAGATCAACCATTTATGTAAGTACATCATTATTATTGATCCATAATGGATTTAAATGGTAGCAAAAGGGGTATCATAATTTTAAAAAACGACAAAAGGTATATACGACGATTTTATTCGTTTCTCTGAAGCAAGTTATTGACATTGCCCTTAACGCACATGCGCAAGAGACATCGCTGTCCCGCCATTTTCGAAACTGTCGATATATTCTAAATTAGTACAATTTTGGCGCATGCTGACTTAAAAATGGCGTAGATAAAGCGTGTGATCGCGTGGGCCTTTATTTGTTTGTGTAAAGAATTATTTAAAAATTGTTGACACATTTACAACGAAAGGGAAATTGTTAAAATGACTACGCCATAGATTAGAGTACTGTGAGGTAGACATTCAAAGAGACGACATTTCTGCCTTTCGTGTTCCGTCCTAAAAACATAAGAGGATCTCGCTTTTTAGCATAAGTCCACGCCTTGCAAACGATTATGGTTGGTGGCGCAGCAAGCGTCACAATGCGACAGATAATAATTAAACAATATCAACGTACGTCGTTGTTGAAACTAAAGCTTGGCCGAAGTGTTAGTGAAATAAAATACGCGAGAACGTTTAGAAATAAATAATTTAACAAATCAAACCGAGTATCGTTGTGGTGCATTCGATTCTAGACAAATGGAAAGATACCATATATCTTCCGCGTAAATAACATAGTTGACCAGTGTTTCTCAATCTACAATCCACAATGCAATGTGGGAGTTTGTGACTCACAAAAGAAAAAATGAAGAATTTTTGAAAGCAAAATTTCTACAT